TGATACACTATATGATGTATTATATAATATATTATATGATGTATTATATGATATATTATATGATGTATTATATGATATATTATATGATTTATTATATGATTTATTATATAAGCTCTTATACGATGTCTAAAGATCTAATAATAATCCTGAGTAACACAACCGTCGAAAAAATCATAGGTTATCGGTTAATCGAAGAACAGTCGATAATAGAATTTCCTTTCACCCTCAACAATCTTTGACGAAACCCGAATCTAATCCTCGAAGCAGACCCCAAAATGAAATAAACCGAAAGACGTGTTCGCGTAAACGAAGAGAATTTACAAATCCCCTGGCCAAAAAGCGGCAATTTTCCTCGGCGAGAGTATTTCTGTTCCGCTCGTCCTCGCCGAGCGTTTTAACGAGATCGTTCGCAGTTAACGTGCTAGAACTTAATTCCACAAAGAGGGAAACGTCCCCCACAGGACTTTCCGCGAGCTTTCACCTTTCTTATCCACTTTCTCCGACTTTCCTGGATGGCACTCTTGCAACCTAGACACACGTGGCTCCAGTAAATGCCCCGACGATAATGGAGTTAGCTGTTTCCAGGGGAAAGCCGAACGATAACTTCGTTCTATTGGCTTACCCTTACTTTCCGTTTCTTAATTTCCAGCTAATTTCTTTTTTCTTTAATCCCTTCAGTGGATTACCTTGCGGGATTCAATTTATAAACCTTAATATTTACGCGAAAACTTTTCGACGCGTGAAAAAATAGAAACGTAAAAAAGATGATTCGGAAAGTTTTATAACAGAATTTCGCGGAGAAATTCTCTTCCATATTTCTTCCACCCTCGAGCCATTTCTAGGGAAATAAACTAGACAACGCGATAAAAAGTGTCTGCACGTCGTTCGAGTGTCAGGTAGAAATAATAAGAATTTGTTGGGAGTTGTCGAAAACTTTTCGATGGCTCCATGAATCATTTAGACCCCTCACCCTATGTTACGGCTCTTGGAGTTTCATATTTATCGACTGTCAATTAAAGGGGAAAAGGAGACAAAGTTTACACCTCCAAATAAATTATTACGGGTCCTTCGTTCAATTTTTCAACTTCAAATAAATGTTTATTCTTCAAAATTTATTGAGGACCTTCAAAGTGTAGTGCTTATTCGATGAAATTTTCAAGCTTCAAAAGTTTAGTATTCGAAATAAATTTATAAAAACTACCCTTTCAAGGTGTACTGCTGTTGGATGAATTTTTGAAGTTCCAACAAATATTTAATTCTTCCCGAAATAAATTTGTTAAAGGTTAAAACTACCTCTTCGTGTACTGCTCTCGATGAATTTTTAAGTTTGGACAAATATTTCATATTTTTGGAATGAATTTATTAAAGTTTAACCTCTTTGAGATGTGCTGTGATGAATTCTTGAAATTCGAACTGTTGGATTACGTGGTTATTCGTGACGCACTCGTGACGCACTCTTTATGCAACTGACGCATCCGTGAGGCACTCGTGACGCACTCTTGGTGCACTCTTGATGCAACTGACGCATTCGTGACGCATTGATGACGCACTCTTGATACAATTGACGCATTCGTGACGCACTGATGACGCACTCTTCATGCAACTGACGCATTCGTAACGCATTCATGACGCACACTTGATGCACTCTTGATGCAACTTATGCATTCGTGACGCACTCACGACGCACTCTTTATGCAACTGAGGTATTCGTGACGCAATCATGAGGCACTTATGACGCATTCTTATCGCACTTGATACAATTATTGTCTGATTTGAATAATCGTGCAAATTATTTCATGTTCCTTCATGCAAAGTTCCTTCATGCAAAGTTCCTTCATACAGAATGAGTTCCTTCATGCACTTTGCCTTCCTGTTTAAATGAAGGTAAATTAAGCAGCATTAAGGTAAAGGATGTTGAAATGTTGGGTGTATTTCGCATTTAGCAATTTTTAATTATATTTGAAGCTTGATTTTTATGCAATTACGATATAGTTTGTCGCATTTGAACTGCGAGGTGCGTCACGAAGTAGGCCACTCGTGACGCACTCGTGACGCACTTTATACAATTATCCTCTGATTGAAATAATAATAATAAACAAAAAAGTAAGAAATAATAAAAGTTTGATAATATCTAGAAAATTACAGAATACAAAACTCTACCCTTAAACCTCAACAGTGATTTTTGAAGCACCGTTTCGAGAACGCAGAAAAAAAATGAAACGCTCTATCAGCTGCAGACAAGCGCGTCCAAACGTTCTCCAAGTTTGCGTTCCATTTTTCGGTTCCAAACCCGTCAGTTAATCCGGGAGACCCCGTAACGGTGCTCGACACGTGGCAGCGAGTCTCAGCCGCTGCTTTTGCGAGAATAACGCGTGTTTCGATCTCCCAGACAGAAGAATAACCGTACCAAATGCGAGTCGGGCAAGAATCGACCGACAGAGATAAAAGAGAGAGGAAAAAAGGAGGAGATAGGCAGAGGATCGAAAGCGAGAGGATAGTTCCGCGTTGCAAGCGGATCGTTGCTGATAAAGCGCGATAAGCTCTCAAGCGCGGGACGTTATGAGGACGGAAACGATAACGCCGGCACATTTCCAGAGGACGGCGGCTCGCTTTTCCTGGTCTTTGCTCTTTTCGCACCGCTACAACCTGCTCTCGGATATACAGGGTAATTGAATGAGTTCGCGTTCGGGATAGAATTAATCGAACGCTAGGATTCGTTAACTCGTATTTCGATGGTGTTGTTTATGTTTGTTGGTAATGTCACTGTGTTGCTGTCTTAGGGTTCTGCATAAGTGTATGCACTTCCCAAATCTCTACATCTCTAAATTCATATGTTCCCAAATTCACGTATCACCAAATCCACACATGTCCTAATCCACACGTCCCCAAATCCACACGTCCCCAACTCCACACGTCCCCAATTCCACACGTCCCCAATTCCACACGTCCCTAAATCCACACGTCCCCAATTTCACACGTCTCCAAATCCACACGTCTCCAAATCCACACATCCCCAATTTCACACGTCCCTAATTCCACACGTCCCCAATTCCACACGTCCCCAATTCCACACGTCCCCAACTCCACACGTCCCCAATTCCACACGTCCCTAATTCCACACGTCCCCAATTCCACACGTCCCCATATCCACACGTCCCCAAATCCACACGTCCCCAACTCCACACGTCCCCAACTCCACACGTCCCCAACTCCACATGTCCCTAAATCCACATATCCCCAACTCCACACGTCCCTAAATCCACATATCCCCAACTCCACACGTCCCCAAATCCCCACATCCCCAAATCCCCACATCCCCAAATCCCGAAACGCATCCTCAAATCCACACATCCAAATGCCAGATTAGACAAACAACATGTACAAATACCGTCCAGATTAACCCCCGGCAATATAGGCCTAAGTAATCTCGTGTTAACTGGAACCTAAGCAAATGTAACCGTAGGCGAAACGCTGATTCCATACCGAAACTCAGACCTACCCCAAGTGTTACTCGTCCACAAGTAACTCGATTCTTGACAGCTCAATTCGAATTACACAGTGATACTCATCCGCCTGTTAATTATCGTTGTCGTTATTAATGCTATGGAAACAATGGTAGGTTTGAAGTAGCGGGACATGGAATGGTAGAGATAGGGGTTAAGAACGACACGTGGACTCGGTGAAGGGGATCTCGGGGTCTGGTCGTTAGACAAGCATTTCACGAGTGGGCTGACGGTAATCCTGAATCATTAGAGAGCTTCTAGGCAGGCAACAATGGCATCTCGAAGGGACGGAGCTTTTGTGCGCAAGAAACGCTAGCTCCAGACAAATCAACGGGAATTGGGATTTCTTTTGATAGGGACGTCGATGGGAGGATCGTTAGTTGAAATAAATCTGATCGTTGGATAAGCATGTAGTTTTTTGGAGGGAGATTAGGGGTGAATTGGTCGGGCTATGTCGAATTAAATCTTGCTGCGTGAACATTTTAATTTATATCTTGCTCTACAATATCGTGACGCTGGTGACGCACACTAGTGTTCATATGTGATGTACCGGTTCATATATGACGCATCAGTTCATGTGTGATGCACCACTTCATATGTGATGCAAAGTTCATATGTGACGTACCAGTTCATATGTGATTCACTAGTTGATATGTGATGCACTACTTCATATGTGATGCATCAGTTCATATGTGACGTACCAGTTCATATGTGACGTACCAGTTCATATGTGACGTACCAGTTCATATATGACACACCAGTTCATATGTAATGCACCACTTCATATGTGATGCACCATGCATCAGTTCATATGTGACGTACCAGTTCATGTGTGACGTACCAGTTCATATATGACACACCAGTTCATGTGTAATGCACCACTTCATATGTGATGCATCAGTTCATATGTGACGTACCAGTTTCATATGTGATGCATCAATTCATATGTGACGTACCAGTTTCATATGTGACGTACCAGTTCATATATGACGTACCAGTTCATATGTGATGTACCAGTTCATATATGACACACCAGTTCATATGTAATGCACCACTTCATATGTGATGCATCAGTTCATATGTGACGTACCAGTTTATATGTGACGTACCAGTTCATATATGACACACTAGTTCATATGTAATACACTAGTTCATATGTGATGCACCACTTCATACATGACGTACCAGTTCATATGTAATACACCACTTCATATGTGACGCACAAGCTCATATGTGACGTACAGTTCATATGTGATGCACCAGTCTCGTGTTAACATTGTAATTGAATTTTAAGTTCAGTTCTAAGTATTCTCACAATTAAAAATCGCTGAGTACTAACTTTTCTGACTTGCCTTTACATTATAGCAATAATGTCTAAACTTGTATATGACTGTCTAAAAAATTGTGAGTTAAGAAGCTAACACGAGTTCGCAATTTATAGACCTATTTTTGATTTTAAAGAAGCAAACAGCTCTGACCCGTACCCGTTTGTTGCAGGGAGTGTTGTATGTTCCTGCGTGTATTCCTGATCGAGGTAGATCGAGTGATCCGAAACTATCGAGCCGTTTCTCGAGTGTCGATAGCGTTTGCAACGCGGAGGAAGCAAGCAAGCCCAGAAAGTGTCCTCTCGACCGGAGGAGAGTGCAAGTACTCGGCATGAAGGGTGAGTCCTTTGAATGTTCAACCTATTTTCGATTAACTAGAATCTTCAACTTTCGGAGCTCATAAAATGCGTGTTTCTCGACTTAATTCCAATTAAATATATCATACCGTTAATCTACCCGTTAAGAACATTATCGGTCCTTTATCTCGTTCGAGTAGCCATCGCGTTATCTTTTAATCGGTCGACCTACATACTCGAACTGTGGAGGCAAAAGGAATATTTGGGTCGAGTTTATCGGGGATATCGTTTCAAAGTAAATTGAGATTTTCCGGGGAAACAGTCGCGACGGTTTATCTCTAGGGAAACGTTTTCTTGCATCGTTTGAATCAGCGTATTCGCGTATGCGATGTTTTTTAAACGATACGCGGTTACGGATCGGAAGTCGAGGTTCAAAATCCATATCTTCCCATAAAAGTTCCTTCGTACAGTTCCCTGTTGTTCCTAACATTACTTTAACATAGTACGTCCCATTACACCTCCATAAAGTAGCTTCTCACAGTTCAGTTATTTTCTCCAACTATTTCCGTAGGTAGTTTTCAAGTAATACCTTCGTAAAGCAGCTTTCGTGCAGTTTAGATACTTGTAACACTATTTTTCCACGATTTGCCATAGTAACTATTTCAAAACCGTGCACTATGACTCATTTGTGAGGGAGCATCAAAACTATCTAATCAATACGGTATTAAAACAGTGCGTCACGAGTGCGTCACTAGGTCTTACTTGTGCGTCAGAATGCTTCGTCAGTGCGTCAAGGGTGCTTCAGGGTTGTGTCAGGGGTACATCATAGGTGCGTCATGAATGCATCGTGAGTGCGTCAAGGGTGCGTCAGGGTTGTGTCAGAGCTGCGTCATAGGTGCATCATGAATGCATCGTGAGTGCGTCAATGATGCGTCAGTGTTCTATCAGGGGTGCGTCATGAATGCATCGTGAGTGCGTCAAGGGTGCGTCAAGGTTGTATCAAGGGTGCGTTAGAGGTGCGTCAGAGATGCGTCACGAGTGCGACACGACTTCATCTCGAGTGTCATGAGTGCGTCAAGGGTGCGTCACAAGACCATGGAGAGTGCGTCATGGATGCGTCACAATTGCATCTCGAGAGCGTCATGGGTGCGTCAGAAATACGTCAAGAGTGCATCACGGGTGCGTCAGAGATTCATCAAGGGTGCGTCATCGGTGCGTCAGAGATCCACCAAGAGTGTGTCATGGGTGCGTCAGAGATCCACCAAGAATGCGTCATGGGTGCGTCAGAGATTCACCAAGAATGCGTCATGGGTGCGTCAGAGATCCACCAAGAATGCGTCATGGGTGCGTTAGATTTATCATGGGTGCGTCATGGGTGCGTCATGGGTGCGTCAGAGATCCATCAAGGGTGCGTCAGATCCACCAAGAGTGCGTCATGGGTGCGTTAGATCTATCAAGGGTGCGTCATAGGTGCGTCAGAGATCCATCAAGGGTGCGTCATGGGTGCGTCAGATCCATCAAGGGTGCGTCATTGGTGCGTCAGAGATCCACCATGGGTGCGTCATGGGTGCGTCAGAGATCCATCAAGAATGCGTCATGGGTGCTTTAGAGATCCATCAAGAGTGCGTCATCGGTGCGTCAGAGCCACCCAGAGTGCGTCATCGGTGCGTCAGAAGTGCATGAGTCATCAACAGTGCGTCACAAGTGCGTCCTAACTCAACCTCGCCAAAATAGAAATTAATTTCCGTGCCTCATAAAAACTAGTCTCCAACATCTTCTAACATCAGCGTCGACCAACCCCAAAAAGTTCTAATTTCAGTAAAAAACGATCAAAACAAGTCCAGTCGTTCAGAAGCACTCGTGCCTCGAATGTTTACCGTACTCTGTAACGTTTTCACGGGAAGAGGAGCGGTTTTCTTTCGAATTCGCGCGGAATCGGTGTCAGCGAAAATGTGGAACAACGGACGGAGTTGCGTGCAAGCAATCTGCGTGGTCGGTCGATCTGGGTCGCGAAAATCGTTGGAAACGTAATTTCAGGATACGTGTTCGACGCCCTTTTTCTCGCCCCATTCGTGACCTCCTTTCCCCCTATATTTTTTTAATCTTTCTCCTTTTATTCTCTACACGCCGCTGTGATAGTTGCGAAACAATTGCCCGTTACTCTTCCTTTTTCCCTTTCGGATCTAGCCGGAGGCGAGGTTTTTTATTTTCCACCACCGTGTTAGCCTTGAAAATTAGACCTCGCGTCGCTTACCCGAGTCAGAGATATAGCGGAGTTTGCAGAAGAAATTGCGAGCAAACTGCGAAGGCAGGGTTGATTAAAGGGGTGCGTTTTTGAGTTTCTGGTTTTACTTGGACGTATTCAAAGCCTCGGGAAACTAGTCGGTTATTGAATTTATCGGAACAATTAGAGATGGGCAGAGCGGCTGAGAAAGGAAAACAGAAGGTGGAAACTGTCGAGGGAAATTCCTTTGACCGATGGGACCTTAAGCGTTTCGGATCGATCGTCTTAAAGGTTCAGTTTAGCCTTGACTGCGCTAACGTGAACCTGACTTTCGTCTCGAAAATTCGCTCTCCAATTCGAGCGCTCCGAAATTAATTACCAAGGATCAAACTGGTATTTACAAGGATTTTACTCCCAACAAAATAAACAGTTATCAGTCGAAATGCAGTTACACGAAATAATCCAACTTTGATGAAATTATTAAACTACTTTGCTAAATGCAGCAAAATCCAGGGGATCTTAATCCAGCCCGAATCGATCCGGCGGAGAAAAGTCATACTCGTAAAAAGAAAAAAGAAAGCTAATCCCCAAGCATCTACCAATCAAGCTCAGCTCGAACGGTGTCCCAGGTCTGAAAAACGGTTGATTCTTGGTCGGCAAGGGGTTGGAGCGATAAGAAAGAACGAAGACTCGGTCCGGGAAGAATAGGTCAGCGCAAGGGTTGCTCACCGGCCTGCTGCTGGATATCGCAGCGATTTTCCAGGCACACTGGGGTTGCAGAATCAGGGCTGCAGCCCCCTGGCGGGCGTAGCAAGGGGTAGCACTGACACCACGACCCAGATACGGGCCATTGTGCACCCCTATACTATACCGTACACTCGGATTGCGTCATAGCTCGGCACAGCCGCAGAGGCTGGCCGAACTCGATCGTTTTCGACTGACGCAGTCGTGGCTGCCGTTTTTCAGCCAACCCCGCTTTTCTCGCCCTTCCTTTTCTGTAACGTTCTCTCCGGTCAATTCTTAACCCACTTGGCTACCTTTTCGATAACAGAAATACTTTCTCGAGGGTTGCTTTATAATTCTCTTAAATATCGCGACAACGGCACGAACAAATTTTTATTTATTTTCACCGATTCTATTTTACTGCGCTCAAATTAACCTGACCTCCATTGTTAACGACGCTTCGTAACGAGACTCTTTGCCCCTCCCTTACCCTGAATAGCCCCTACAGAACAGAGTCATTAATCAACCTAAAAATCCGAGGGTTGCAATAATAAAAGTTAATTGAAAGGCAAATAAAACTGCCGATACATGCTTCAAACGTATCGGACTTCGTTGGAATGTTTCCCGATTTCACCCCGAGCCGAGTTTGTATCCCGTTCGTCTTTCAGCAGTTTTCGACCCTCGCATCAGCGTAAAACGGCTCAATTTCAAGTTCACTAATGGCCGTGGTCACGGAGGATCCAGGGGAGGGCTGCTTTTCGCGAAACGTCCAGTTTTCGACGGTAAACGACTGCACGGGGGTTGAACGCTTTTAGGTTGGTCGTTAGCTTGCTTTTGGAACGCTGCCTACACTGTGGCTCATCAAAATTGTTTTTTAAAAAGAGTTTTACGCTCGGAATTAACTATTTTGACTTCTTTCTATTTAATAACAGAGTTTTCACGTTGCATTCAATTTTAATGGCTACGAAGATTAAAACAACAAATTACTTCGTGTACCTTTACGGTTTACGAGCCCTCATTTCAGGAACGCTAGTTGTGAGACACTCTGTATTAAAAGATAGATTATTACATTAAGGGGTGAACTATTATATTGAGAGACAGATTATCACATCGAGAGGTGGTCTATTAGATTATTATTGTAGAAGCATTAAGTTCTGACAATTTTATTAACTTTGTCCTCGTCCGAGGATATCTGTATGATCTCTGCTCTTACAGAGCAAACCTTCATTAACCATAATCACCGTAGTCTTCACTTTTACATGTGGATTTATAATGCAGTCCAACGATACAGAAAATGAAAAACCTTATAGCAACCGCTTCGTAATTATTCTAGTGTCCCAACAATTTACCTCTTCGAATAATTTGCATCATTACGTGCCTCACATTTCTTGGACTTTCTAGTCGAAGTTATGTACGCAAGAACGTTAAAAGAAACGCAGGTGTGTGGAAGAAAAAATGGAAGGTGAAGAAAGAGGGGTGGAATTAAGGTGGAAGTTCTTAGAATCCGAGTTGGCGAGTTCTTGTATTTATTGCTTTCGTCGTGGTCGAACAAACAGGAGGGTGGTCGAGGAGGGATGAATGGTCGAATTCGCGAGGACGATTTAAAGAGACCGAAACTCCCTTTTTCTCGGACGAATCGTTCCGTTCCTTAACTTTTCCCATTCTTTCTGCGCCCCCTTTGCAATTCCGTTGTCTTCTTTTCCCTCCACCCCTTCTTGTTTCTTCTCTCCGTTCATCGACCCTTCCTTTTCTTGTCGATTCTTTACCTCGATCCGCTGCCTTTTATCTTCCTCCCCTTACAGCCCTTTCGTAACCCCTTCCGTGTTTCACCCGGTCTCGACACGTTTTAACGCAGAAAGCTGGAAACTCGTGTCTCATCGACTTTCTACCAGGAGCTTTCAATGAAATGGCCTGTCCTACGTTCGCTTGCTTACGAAATCTCTGGACGTTGTTTAGCCTTTTCTACGCTACTTCAATTGTCGTCGATACTTGTTCTCCTCCTTGTTACTTGTTTTCCGATCGTGGTGCATCGAGGGTTTGCGGTTGAACCACTTCGAGATATCGCGCAACAGTGCAATCTGGCACGTTCAAAGCT